ACTATCTTCCCCACACTGGGAAAAATGCCTCATTGGCATTTCCCTTGGTTGTTGGACTTGAACTAGGGGCCTGATTGCTGTCCCTCAACTCTACAGCTTAAGGCTAGCACTCTGCCACTCTGAGTCCCAAAGGAACTCTGCTTGCTCTTTCAGCCTTCTGCTGGCTGTGTAGAGGTGACAGTCTCACCTTTTTCTGTCCAGGCTGGCTTCGAACCAGTGTGCAGCTCAATGAGTCTCATAAAAGGCCACTTTACTCCAATTAAAAGCAACAAAGTGGTCAACATAGAAGTAGCTTTTAAGCATGCTCTTACCTGAAACTTATTAAGAGCCAAAGTTACATCTGACAAACTTACAAGAATCCTTACTCCTTTTTGTTAAGCCAGATATCTTAATTACAGTGTAAACAGCCTTATGCATTCTAAAATACCAGATTTTCTAATTTTTAAGTTAAAGAATCCTTAAAAAGCCATTTAAAACGTGAAAAATTTTTAAATTTTTTGATAATGTCCAAACCTCATAATCTTTGAACTTTAAACTTAAACTCACCCAATTGTTACAGCATGCTGACAATTTTTATCTTGAACATGTTCACAAACACATACAAAACACATTCACATAGATCTTAAAGCATGCAAAAATTAAAATCAGTTGTACATACATTTTCTAAAGTTGTCAAACAAAAATTTAAGACAATATTTCTTTTAAACTAAGTAACTTTGTTGAGCTTCATTTTCTCAGGACTTGCTTGTTTAGCAAGGCATTTCACCAATCTGTCTTTTGAATCCTTTCTGTTGGAGAAAGGCTGGGGGGGGGGGTAGGGGTCACCTGAAACTAAACTGGCCTGACTTTTATCCAATTTTAGACAAGAGCATTTTACAAATTGTTACATTGTCAGGACTAGCTGAAAAGTAAAAACCAGGCACACAGCCTTCTACACCCTCCCTGCAGGCAGCCTCTACTAGGAGAAAATGCAGCCTGAGGCTTGAAGGGAACCAAACTAGTCTAGCAACCTTCCATGCCTCACAGGGAGGGGGGCATAGCAGGTCTGTGATCTGATCGAGGCCAGTGGGAGGCTGGAACTTTTATTCCCCCAGAGATGTTCAAATAAATAACAAAAACACAAATAAACACAAAAACCAAGGATCCACATTTAAAACTGATACCAATTCTAAAATAGAACTAGACAAGACAAGAACCAGAAACTGAGTTGGGGACTAATGGGCCCACAGTTTATCCCTACTATAGCTCTGTGCCATTCTCACTCAGCAAGCTGAATCCAGAGTCTGCTGAGTGAGCCTACCACTCTCACCCAGAACTTCCCTACCTCAGGAAACATAGAACAGAGAACAATCAGGTCTCACCAACATTTGTTGACTCAAGGGCCTTCCAAAGCAGAAGAGAAGCCCCAGTCATCTTGGGGCAAGGGAAGTAATTCCCTAGTGGCCGTCCCCTCAGACTGGCAGATTCTCCCCTATACTCAGACACCCCTGGGCCAAGGCCTAAAGCTAAGATAAACACTCACCACAAAGACACAACTTAAGACAAAGACATGCTGTGGGTTGTAAATTGCCAACCAGAAAGTGCCAGACTTCAGATGGAGAGTTTCCCCAAAAATGTCCAGTGCCAGACTACAGACAAAAAACTTTCCAATACAGATGGAAAATTTCTCAAAAAGATGTCCGCACGAAAGTGCCAGACTATAGACAGAAAATTTCCCAAAAAAATGTCTGCACTAAACAGCAATTTACCCAGAAGGGTCTGGGGACATCTCCTCACAGACCCTGTTGACAGTCTTTTAGCATGTCCGCCAAGACTCTTTGCCAACCACCAGAACCTGCAGACAACCAGAATACAGATACAGAGAGGCAATGCCTTAACTTACAGGCCGGGTTTTTGTGACTCTGTGGTGGAGCATCTGGAGGGTCTTATGAGGGAGATCCCGGAGGAGCCCCCAGGAATGTAATACACAGACATGGGACCCCCAAAAGACCACCAGAGACCAGGACCAATGCAAACAGCAAAAGAGTCGTCTATTTGCAACCTCAAGCACAGTCCTCTGTGCACTTGGTAAGCGGTGACGCTAAGAGGCCCCTAACCTAAAATCAGTATGACTTTTATAGTATTGAACAAACAAGTTTAGGGGATTTCCACATAAGCAGTAACACAATTGGTAGATTTTTACAGAGATTATACTATTGATCCACGTTTGATGGTTCGATGGTTGCAAACCCATTCTGTTCCTAGAATACCTGGGCAATTGTTCTGTTTCTTAAGGGTGGGCAGGGTTGATGGCAACTCCCCACCCAGGGTTATTCTGAGGGCAGCCTAGCACAAAATGGTGGGGCCAGTTTCAAAATGAAGTTACTTGGGCTCTTCACTAGTGCGGAGAATGTGCTTAGTGATAGAGTGCTTGTCTAGCATTCATGAAGCCTCAGGTTCAATTTCTCGGTACCACATAAACAGAAAAAGTCAGAAGTGGTGCTGTGGCTCAAGGGGTAGAGTGTTAATCTTGAGCAAAAGAAGCTCAGGGACAGTGCCCAGGCCCTGAGTTCAAGCCCCAGGACAGGCAAACACACACACACACACACACACACACACACACACACACACACACACACACACACCAGAGGCCTGCTAGGCTAAAGACTGTTCTTTGGACCTGCAGTAATAGGACTCAGGAAGACTTTCTCTATGGGTTTTCTATGGGGGTCAAGGGGGTTGTCCATGAGTTGGGGTGGAAGCTTCCATCTCCCCAAGCAGGCTCAGCAAAGTCTATAGGACATGTAGAGAGAGCTCTGACAGCTGTAAACGAGTCGTTGAGGAGATTGCTGATAAAGGTTATGGGTATTCAGCAGGAAGGATCCCCAGAAAGTTATTTGCAGTGGCTGTGAGGGAAAGAAAAGGAAAAGAAAGAGAGTCTCAGAATCACAGTTCCCAGTGCTCAATGCCCAACAGCTGGGGTGGAGCAAGTCTAGTCAGAGAAGCCCTGCAGTGGGGTAAGGTGGGGATCAGTGCCAAAGCTGTATCACAGATTTGCCTGGTGACTTATGAGCAGGAAATGATGTTAAGAGCACATTTTCACTTGCAAATCATGAGGGAATAGGAATGGCAGAAGTCTGGTGGCATGTTCCAGAGGTCCCAGAAATCTTCTTAATTTTTATTTTGTGGAGAGCTATCTTTGCAGCATAGAAAAGCTATTTTGGGGATAAGGGTATAGCTTAGTGATGGAGTACATGCTCAGTATGTATAAGAGTCTGAGTTGAATCCCCAGCATGCTCCCCGCCCCCACCACACACACACACACACACACACACACACACACACACAATGAGGATCACAGAACTTTAACTAAGGTTTTCAGTCAGGGGTTTGAAGCCATCTGACAGGGTTGGCTAGGGAACAAGAATCCAGGAATCTCATCCTGGTCCATTGCTTATATTATCTATGATTTTTTCTTCTGGCACAGTAGCCAAGCCTAGGGTATAAGTGAGGCAGGCCCTGAGAGGTCATAGGGATGACCAAGGAGGGAAGATAAGATACCAGAGATGGCAGATGGGATCTCTGGACAGAAAGAGATGTGGGACTCGGACAGTGGGAACAGATAGAGTACTGTCAGATAAAAGGCACTGTGTGTGTGTGGGGGGGGGGGGTATCTGTAACACCTAGGTTTCAGAATGCCCTATGTTACAACATACCTACTTACTAATATCTACTTACCTCAGAAGCGGTCATTCAATTTTCATTGTTGGGAATTTGTATGCAACATTACCAACACTAGTCAGCACTTGCAATATATTTTTCATTCACCTATTGAGCAACTGTTATATGCTATTTTAGACCTAATGGTATTGTAGATAGAATGGGATAGAAAGATAAACAAGATAAGCAAAACAAATAAAGCAAACAGTAGATTATAAAAGAAAGCTGAGAATGTGACTATTGGTAGAGCAATTGCCTAGCCTGTGCAAGGCCCTGGGTTCCACTGCCAGCACCACAAAACAAAACAAAAGCAATAAAATGAACACGAAAAACTAAATTCAAGACATAGACTGTTGAAATGATTTTGAGTTTCAGTAAGTACCACAATGAAAGTGTCTGAAATGTCTGCATAAACTGGTCAGGAAAATAGTTATTGAGAAGGTAACATTTAAGTCGAAATTCAGCTGTAAATATTGTGAAACCTTCATTACCATACTATCTGTTCCGTGATGGGTAAATAAACGATTGCTCCCCTAAGGTAGAAGCTACCAAGAAAGACTAATTACTAGTAGGGGAAATGCCCCCTCTCTATGGAGAGACACCTCCTCTTCCGCCCCATTACTGTCAGGTTTCGTCTTCCAGGCATTTTTGCAACACCCTTTGCCAACAGGGGTTGAGGCTAGGACATTTGGCAACGGTGAGACATTACTGACCCCTAAACTAGCATTCAGAGATAAAGCTGAACAGGATTAGGGTACCCAGAAAGGTCCTGATGACTGGAGCTTGGGGAAAGCTATTCTCCTGAGTATTTCAGAGTTAGTTTGTCGGTGCATGGTTGCTAAGCACATATAAGTATTGGTTTCTTTAATTGCCTAAGAGCTTTAGTTGATAGGGCTTGATACTAAGTACACAAAAATTCTAGTTCCCACCTCTTCTCACCTCCCCACTGTAGAAGTAAACTTAAAAGCATGGAATGGCGATCCTTACTCTACTCCCTTCTCAGATTTAGGGGCACCCAGATTCATGACCAGTGTGTGATTGAGAGTCACAATGGACTGCAAGCATTGGGCTAGTCATTGCTGAAGGGGGATGGGGGCTGCTGCCGGGAAGAGGGAGTCCTGGAGTCAGATTTCATTCCAGACCTTGACCTTATTGGAGGTGATGCAATCAACCAATATTAGCATAGTCCTGGGAGACTGCTTATCCCCAATAGGGTTGAAAGTGGGGGTGGTGCTGCCACCAACTCTATATAAATTCAACCCCTGATGTCCAAAGCTGTCCTGAGGCTTCTCTAGCTCAGCATGACTAGGACACTGGGAGACCCCATTGCACTGGCCTTGTTAGGCCTGTGCTGGTCTCTGGCTATTGCCAACCCTCTTCCAACGTGAGTAAAGCTAGGGCGAGGGATAGAAAATTGTGGTCTGGGTTTGGATACATGGGTCCAGGTTTTGGGGTTGTGTCAAGAGCTAAGGAAGAAATATAGGTCACAGTGGACCCAGGCATCTATCTGTTCTCTCTCTAGTGCCCAGGGGAATGTTGCTGAAGGTGAAATTGCGACCAAACTAGACCCCGATGTGATCGGTGAGGCTCCAATTCCCTATTACGTATGTCACTGTGTTTTTTCATCTTACTGGTTTTTCACCTTGCCAACTCCTTACCTCTACTCCAGAACGTTGCTCTGATGGCTGGAGTCTTGATGCTACCACTATGGATGGCAATGGGACCATGCTGTTTTTCAAAGGTAGGGGGCTTGGTAGCAAATGTCTGTAATTCTAGCATATTTGGGGGGAGGCTGAAGCAGGAGGATCATAAGTTCAAGGCCAGCCCGGGCTAGACCTTGTCTCAAGCAAACAACAGAAAATACACAAAAATTCTTCAGAGATTGTCTCCATTTGTGGGGGGACTCAGGAAATATTCATGGGTATCACTGGCAGCTTCTCTGTAACGATTTCAAGTCACAAAATTTTGTTGTGGGTCTCTCAGTAAATGTGGATTTTTTTTAAAGGGGAATTTGTGTGGAAGGGTCACAAATGGGTCCGGGAGTTGATCTCAGAGAGATGGAAGAATTCTACCAGCTCTGTGGATGCTGCATTTCGTCGTGGTGGCAACAGTGTCTTTCTGATCAAGGTACTCTAGGCCAAGGGCAGAGTTTGGCAACAAAGAACTGGAATCAATCTGTGACCTTCTCTCAGGTTTCTCAGACTTGGAGCTTGTTTTAATACATTTTCTGCTGCTGTAATAGAATACCCAGAACTAGATAATTTAAATGAGCAGTAATTTATTTGGTTCATGGCTCTGGGGTCTGTGAAGTCTAAAGCACGGAACTGGCATCTGGTAAAGGAACTCTTGCGTTGGTATAGCATGGTTAGAAAGACAATACCAAGGCTAGATGGCTAGAGTAAGAGAGCAAGAAAGGTCCAAATTTGCTTCCATAGCAGCAATCTGCTCTTGTGATAACTAACTCATTCCTGTTGTCACATTTATGCAGTTAATCCATTCATGATGACCTAATCGCCTCTTTATTGGCTCCACCCACCAATTCTGTTGCATTTGTTTCCAACAAATGATCTTTGGGGAACACAGTCAAACTAGAGCATGGCTCATATTGATATATACCAGCTTCCTTCTGTGCCTTTGTTTCCTTAATAAAAGCTCGGGGTTATATCCACTCATTTTTCAGTTCTTGAGCCAAATTCTTCCTCTTCACTGTAAATCCTTCAGGGGCTTTCCCAGCCAGACTTAGGCATTTCCTTTGTATTCCCAATGCTCTTTTCATTTTTTTTTTAAAACTCATTTTGCTGGGTACATGGCTAGGATGGTAGGAATTATTTCTGCTTCTATACAGGGGATCTTGTCACCCCACAATCCCCAATGCCTCTCAATACTTGGCTGTAATAGTCATTTAGTAACTGCTTCTTTAATGACTGCATAACTTAATGAACAAATGAATGCATGAATGATTGTAGGATAACTATTTGTGGGTATACTTACCCAAATCAATAAATTAAGTATGCCTCAGGAGTATCTAGTTATTTATAAGCCAGATATGTATGCTATAGTAGTATCAACTGTGTACAGTAAAACTCAGAATATGTATTGTGCAAAGGATATCACACCATTGTCTATAGAGAAACAATGTGGAGCTGCAAAAGAATAATTGTATAACAACAATAGGTCAAAAACACTATGTGTGAATGCAGATTGGCACTATCTGAAAGAGTAGTTCAAAATAGAGTATTTTTGGCTCCAGGGTGACAAAGTCTGGGTATACCCTCCTGAAGAGAAGGAGAATGGATATCCAAAGTTGCTCCAAGATGAATTTCCTGGCATCCCATTTCCAGTGGATGCAGCTGTGGAATGTCACCGTGGAGAATGTCATGATGAAGGCATCATCTTCTTCCAAGGTCAGTAGAAGCTGGATTCCTAGAGCCTGGAGAAGTAGTAAACAGTGGCAAAGGAGTAATGTTGCTTATAGTGATGGGAGTATCCACTCTGTGATTTCAGTAAGGAAAACAGGAGAAAGAGAGGGCATCATTCTAATAAAGGTACCCAGGCTAAAAGTCCTCCGCTATTCCCTATGAGCCTAGAACAAATCTATGTGTTTTAGTTTTTGGTGTAAAGTACATGATGACCAAACACCTTTTGATTCTCCAGTTTTGACTTTTACAATCTCCTTACCTTAAACACTAAACTTCTAAAACTATGCTATGCCCCATATACTCCATTTGCTTCATACTTTAGGCCCTTTCCTCTGTAGAATTCCATCTTCCCTCTTGTATATGTCTTGTAACTCTTTCAGCTTGCTGTTTAAGAATCACCTTCCCTGAAAACTTCCCCTGGACTCTCTCTCTTGCTGAGATGACCATATGCACTTTGCTTTTGTTTGTAAGATCACTCTTCTCAATTATCTCCCTGCTTCCCTGCGCACCCCATGTTGTTAGTGCTGGATACATCCTGGGTCCCAGAGCAAGCACATAACCTAGCTTCCCTAATTGTGTTTTTGATTCACTGGACAAAGGTGACCGCAAGTGGTTCTGGGACTTGGCTACAAGAACCAAAAAAGAACGTTCCTGGCCAGCTGTTGGCAACTGCACTGCTGCCCTGAGGTGGCTTGAACGCTACTACTGCTTCCAGGGTAACCGCTTCCTGCGCTTCAACCCTGCTACTGGAGAGGTTCCTCCCAGATACCCTCTGGATGCTCGAGACTACTTCATGTCTTGCCCTGGAAGAGGTGAGAAAACCCCAGTCTCTGGGACCTGCTGGAATTCATCTACCTTTTCTGAGCCTGTGGACTCTTGTGCCCCAGCTCTCACGTTAACTCTATTGTATTACATTGCCTCTTACCCTAGTCTATTTTCATTCTGACTCTTCCTATTGTCCTCATATGGGGAAACCCACAGTCTTACTAACCCCAGCCATCTGTTCCTCCTCAGCCTCCATTCCATCATCTTATCTGTTTCTTTCTCTTTTACCCTCTTGCAGGCCATGGTAGAAGACACAGGAATGGAACTGGCCAAGGGAATAGCACCCACCATGGCCTTGAGTATACACGCTGTAACCCGGATCTAGTCCTGACTGCATTGCTGTCTGACAACCATGGTGTCACATATGCCTTCAGTGGTGAGAGATTCCCTCCACCTCCCCAGTTTCTGTCTTCTCTCTTTTTACTTGCATTTCTCATCCATGACACATTTCCCATTTTCACTATGTCTTCTATTTTGTCTCCCTCTCCTTTCCACCTTTAACAGGCTATACTGCACCCATGCCTCCTCGGATGCATGTTTTCCAACCTTCTCTCTCCTTGCTCAGGCCTGTAACTTCATCCATATGATCACTTCCCGGTGTCATCTACTCCCATGCCATCCATGCCCTCGGAGGACTTCTCAGTTCCAGTGATTCCTCATGTCTTCTTTGTCCTGTGTGCTGCTGAGTCAGTTCTCTGGCTCACTTTCTGCTCTGTCTGTGTCCCTAGGCTTCTGTGCCTCTTGGTGTCCCTTTTCTCCTGCCTGTCTTTCTGGATATTCTGGCCCCTCCTGAATTAATCTTCAATCTTTTCCCAGGTACCTAGTTCCTATGGCTAGGCCTTTGGGCTCTATATCATTTTCGATGAGATGTTTCCATCGTTGAGAAACAGATAAGAAACACTGAGTACCCTTGACTTTTGGGAGATGGCTTCAAGTTTTCTCCGCTGAATGTCAATGGGCACACCCATCCCTGACCTTGGCCTGTGGCATCAATTGGTACAGATTCATCTAGTGAGATCTGGGGATGTTCCAAGACTGGTCAGGCAGGTAGTGATGTGTCATTTCTCCCATCTCCAAGAGAGGATATGATCAACTACATTATACTCAAACTAAGATATATGTGTGATCAGATATGAAAGTAGGGTAAGACTGAGAACATAGGAAAGTGAAAAAAATTGTTTTTAACTCCTGGATAAACCTGATCTATTATGATTGCCAAGGTCTACTGAAAATATCCACCTGGGGATCATATATCCTCAGCAGGAATGTATACTATAATGAAAATGTATAGCTGGAATGGAATACACATATAATGAAGACATAGAACTAAACAGAACATAGTAAGAACATGTAAGTCCAGGTGTATATGCAGCTATGGAGAGAACATGGAATCACTACAAGAACAGTGTGTATGGAGAGAGGGGGGGAGAGAGAGACAGACAGACGGACACACAGACAGAGACAGAGACAGAGAGACAGAGACAGGAGACAGAGAGAGATCAAAACTTGAGAAAATAGTAGAACAGGATACACACTGAAATATAAAGAAAATCAGCCATGGAGAACTTACTAAACTTCAAGTCCACAAGTCTACAAAGAGGACACAGCTGAACTCTTAGATGTGTGAGGGAACACAATCATGAGAACACCATTATATTAAAAAATATATGCCCAGGTGAGGACACATGGTTTTGGTGGAAATACCAAACTGCTCAGCATGGAGCTGGTACTCGACTCCTCCTTTAAATTTGTCTCCTTTCCCTTCCATCCACTCTCCTCTTCACAACTTTGGATGGCACATGGGACCATGGTGTCTTCCCCATTTTCTCTTTACTTCATGATCTTTCAGCTTCATATCCTACTGATAATTCCCAAAGCTGTTATCTTTTTCTGATCTGATTCCTAGAGGGAGAGTCTGAATGGCTCAGCCCTATGTTTTCATACCAGAACATATTGAAATGGTTGCTGGTCAGTCTGGATCAGCTACAGATGGGTTAGAGACTCATTACTTACTTCCTCTGCACAAAGAGAAACGCAGCTCTTATTCTCAAAATAGGGGGCCTGAACAGGATAGACTCAGCAGGAAGGGAAAGTGGGTATGACCTGTCATGACATACCCAGTTCACAAAGAGAGCTTGTGCTATGGCTAGAACATCAGGTATTGTGATTCAATTGTGATTTATTTAGACACATCAGAGGCATTGATATGTATGATCAGATACAAAAGTTAGGGAAATGATAAGAACATTGAAAAATATCTGTGAGGTACTAGATATCTTAGTCACTGAGACATGACAGGATATCTGCCCTCAGAAAGTCGCTGGAGGGTGGGAGGAGAGAAAGTAAGAGGGAGAGGGAGAAGCAGAGCAAAGAAAGAAGAAAGAGAGGGGCTGGGAAGGTGGCTCAGTGGTAGAGTGCTTGCCTCGCATGCATGAGGCCCTGGGTTCGATTCCTCAGCACCACATAAGCAGAAAAAGCCAGAAGTGGTGCTGTGGCTCAAGTGGTAGGGTGCTAGCCTTGAGCTGAAGAGCTGAGGGACAGTGCCCAGGCCCAGAGTTCAAGTCCCAAGACCGACCAAAAAAAGAAGAAGAAGAAGAAGAAGAAAGAGAATACTTTCACATCGTATTAGGAGCCCTAAAAAATAGGGCAGGTTAATGTGATAGAGGAGAATGAGGGCCAATTGTACTGAAAGGAGGAGTTTTTTGTTTTGTTTGAACTCAGGGCCTAGGCACTATCCTTGCGCTTTTTTAAAATTCCATTCCTTCCTTCCTTTTTCTTTCCTTTTTTTTTTTTTTGGTCGGTCATGGGGCTTGAACTCTGGTCCTGGGTGCTATCCCTCAGCTCTTCAGCTCAAGGTGAGCTCTCTACCACTTGAGCCACAGCACCACTTCCAGTTTTCTAGTGGTTTATTGGAGATAAGAGTTTCACAGAGGGCTGGGAAGTTGGCTCAGTGGTAGAGCGCTTGTCTTGCATGCCTGAGGCCCTGGGTTCGATTCCTCAACACCACATAAGCAAAAAGAAAAAAAGCCAGAAGAGGTGCTGTGGCTCAAGTGGTAGAGCAGTAACCTTGAACTGAAGAGCTGAGGGACAGTGCTCAGGCCCAGAGTTCATGCCCTACGACCGGACCCCCCCCACACACACACACAAAAAAAAAAAATAAAAGAGTCTCACGGTGTTTCCTGCCCAGGCTGGCTTTGAATCATGATCCTCAGATTTCAGCCTCCTGAGTAGCTAGGATTATAGGCGTGAGCCATTGGTGTCCGGCTTGCTTGCTTGCTTCCTTTCTTTTGTCGGTCATGGGGCTTGAACACAGGGCCTAGGCCCTGTCGCTGAGCTCTTTTGCTCAAGGCTATCACTCTACCAATTTGAACCACAGTTCCACTTCCAGTTTTTGATTGGTTCATTGGAGATAAGAGTCTTATTGGGACTTTTCTGCCTGGGCTGGCTTTGAACTGCAATTCCCAGGTCTTAGCCTCCTGAGTAGCTTGGATTACAAGTGTGAGCCACAGGTGCCCAGCTGTCCCTGAGCTTTTTATGCTTAAGGCTAGTGGTTGATCATTTAAACCAAAGCTCCATTTCCAGCTTTTTGGTGTTTAATTGGAGATAAGAGTTTCATAGACTTTCCTGCCTGGACTGGCTTTGAATTGTAATCCTCAGATCTCAGCCTCCTAAGTAGCTACTAGGATTATAGGCATGAGCCAGTGACACCTAGCTAAGAGTGATTTTTTTAATTTTGTTTTTGTTTTGTTTTTTTGGGTCCGATCGTGGGGCCTGAACTCTGGGCCTGAGCACTGTCCCTCAGCTCTTCAGCTCAAGGCTAGCGCTTTACCACTTGAGCCACAGCACAACTTCCGGCTTTTTTCTTTTTGCTTATGTGGTGCTGAGGAATCGAACCCAGGGCCTTGAGCATGCAAGGCAAGCGCTCTACCACTGATCTACCTTCCCAGCCCCATGGGTGATTTTTTTTTAAAGCAAAGATTTCAATAATACAAAGGATTAACCACATAAAGCCTTGGAGAAAAAAGTATTGTAGAGAATGAAAGGCAAAAAGAAGGCCAGGGAGATGGGAAGGGACAGGAAGGGGAAACAAAGGAGGAAGCAACAATGCTTGATAAGAAATGTACTCATTATCTTGCCCATGTAATTGTAACCCCTTTGTACAGTATTTTCACAAAAAAAATCATTAAAAAAAAAGGCCAGTTAACTAGAACACAAAAAGAGCTGACCTGCTGAATTGAACGAGAAAGGAAAGCAGAGCCAGGTCACATAGATCTATCTGGTAAGGATTTTCTGGAAAAGGAAGCCGAGGTAAGGTATTGAGCAGAGCTGTGATAGGTTCTGACTTGGTTTGAGATGATCATCCTGGTTCCTTGGAGAATGTCAGCCATATAGTTATGGTGATGTAAGCTTAGAATCTAGCTGAAAGTTCTTATAGCTGATGACAGTTTGTACTAGAATGATAGCAGAGCTGGTGAGGGGCCATCATGATGCATTTTGGACGTAGAGCTGACTGTATCAGCTGATAGAGTGGATAGTGATGAAGAGTGGAGAAGGGAAAGTAAAGGCTCAAGAATAACTCAGCCTTGGGGCTGGGAAGGTGGCTCAGTGGTAGAGCGCTTGCCTTGCATGCCTGAGGCCCTGGGTTCGATTCCTCAGCACCACATAAGCAAAAAGAAAAAAGCCGGAAGTGGCACTGTGGCTCAAGTGGCAGGCTCCACGACTGGACCCAAAAAAGAAAAAAAAAAGAATAACTCAGCCTTTGGGAGAGCAGACAATGGGATGTTTGATAATTTCTTTTTCTAAAATTTGGAAACTCTGTGCACACATGTGTGTATGTCTGGGGTAGAAATCAGTCTGGATGTTAGGTTTTGATGCTTAATAGCACCAAATGTATATATTAGGTAGGCCAATTAAGTTTGAAATTCAAATGTAAAGTCAGTCAGAGGAGAAGAGAATAACAGGAAACCCTCAGCTTATAGATGATATTTGAAGCCCCAGAACTAGGTACGAAGAGCTCAATCAAGGGGACTCCAACTTTCTAATACAAGGCTGAAGAGAAAAGTCACCAGGATAAGAACTGCGTGCCAGTGGCTCATTCCTATAATCCTACTTACTCAGAAGACTGAGACCTGGAAGATTACAGTTTGAAGCTAACCCAGGTTGAAAAAGTTTGTGAGACTCCATCTGTAATTAGCCAGCAAAAAGCTGGGCAGTGGTATGCCTCAAATGGTAAGGTGCTAGCCATGAATGAAAAAGCAAACGGAGAGTATAAGGCTCATACTTGTAATTCTAGCTACTCAGGAGGCTGAGATCTGAGGATCTGAAGTCATCCAGGCAGGAAAGCCTGTGAGAATTTTATCTAAAATTAATGAACAAAAAAAGCTGAAAATGGAGCTGTGGTTTAAATGGTAGAGTACCAGACTTAAGTGAACTAAGGGATAGTGTCCAGTCCCTGAGATTTTAGCCCCTGGATAGGCACGAGAGTGAGAGCAAGAGTATGTATATGTGTGAGTATGTGTGTGTGTGAGAGAGAAAGAGAGAGACAGATAGACAGACAGACAGAGATTTAAGAAAGGGTTGGTCAGCAGTCAAATGCTATGGAGATGTAGAGTTAGGTGAATTCACCATTAGGTTTGGAGGAAAGAACATTTTCAATGGAGGAAAGGAAACAGAAGAAGTAAAAGAGAAGTAAAAGAAGGAACAGATGCCTCGATGATTCCTTTAATGGATTTTTATAAAAGGAGGAGTAGAAACATTGGGTAGTGACTAAGCTATACCCTCACACCTAGCCATCTCGCAGGGATCAGAAAACAAAGCCAGAGCCCAGTTCTAGTGGCTCATGCGTATAATCCTAGCTACTCAGATCTGAAGAGCAAGCTTTGAAGCCAGCCAGAGCATGAGAGTCTTTGAGAAATCTTATTTCCAATGAACCACCAAAAAGCCAGAGGTGGAGCTGTGACTCAAATGGTAGAACACCAGCTTTGAGTGAAAAAACTTACAAAACATTAAAAACTAAGGGAAAGTACCCAGACTCCAAGTTCAAAGCCCAGTACAGGCACCAAAACCAACAACAAAACAAACAAAAACCAGAGTTGGAACATTTTTCTTCAAATTTCTGTCCACAACATTATCTATAACCAGATCTTTGCACATGAATACCTGAGATACACAGGATGCTTCCACCAAACCCTGTTTTGTTGGATTTACCTGGAACCTTCACCCTTGGTCTTCACACACGCTTCTGTCAGGGCCCTGCTAACTCCAGTTCCAACTGTGCTACAGTTTCTAACACTGCTGACCAACATCTTGATCTACTTCTTTCTCTCACCTTACCTCTTCCTTCTTAGCCTTGATACTTTCTATCCCTCTCGTGAAACATCGTTAGTGCCTGGGCTTTTGGTACCAGAATTAGCCCCGCTTCTGATACTCCACAGGGTCCCACTACTGGCGTCTGGATACCAGCCAGGATGGGTGGCATAGTTGGCCCATTGCTCATCAGTGGCCCAGCGGTCCTTCGACAGTGGATGCTGCCTTTTCCTGGGATGATAAACTCTATCTGATCCAGGTATGTGTTCAGAGAAAGGCTTGAGATGTAAACCAAACCAAGAATAATCCAGCTCTCTGTTGACTACTGTTCTTTGTTCTTTAGGGCACTCAGGTATATGTTTACCTGGTCAAGGGAGGCTATATTCTAGTCAGTGGTTACCCAAAGCGGCTGGAGAAGGAACTTGGGAGTCCTTATGGAGTCAGCCTTGAGGCTGTGGATGCAGCCTTTACCTGCCCTGGCTCTTCTCGACTCTACATCATGGCAGGTGAGAGACTTCTAGGTGTTACTTCTCCATGGCATTGATCCCCACCAGAGCATGACAAGGGCTAAGTAAGAATCCCTATAACAAGAAGTTATTTTTTGCTTGGTTTCTTATTTCCAGGACGGCGGCTCTGGTGGCTGGACTTGAAGTTAGGAGTTCAAGCTAAGTGGACCGAACTTTCGTGGCCTCATGAGAAGGTTGATGGGGCTTTGTGCATGGAAAAGTCCCTTGGCCCCAAATCATGTTCTTCCAATGGTCCCAGCTTATACCTCATCCATGGCCCCAATTTGTACTGCTACAGTGATGTGGAGAAACTGACTGCAGCTAAGACCCTTCCCCAGCCCCAGAAAGTATCAAGCCTCCTGGGCTGCAGTCAGTAAGGAACCTCTAACAAGAGTTTGACCTGGCTCCACCCACTCCCCACTTTCCACCTAATAAAGCTCCATCCTTTTTCCTGTGGACACTGGGGCCTCAGTTGTAGAACAGTATTTACTTGAGTCAAAAAGTTAGCAACTTCCTTATTGAGGTTCATTTTTTTCCAAACAATATACATGTACATATACACATATTTATGTATGTATACACACACACACACACACACACACATATTGACATTATAAAGGTGATGTACAGAGGGGTTATAATTACATAAGTCAGTTATACATGTTTTTTTTTCTTTGTTTTTTCACCAATCCTGGGGCTTGAACTCAGGGCCTAGGCACAGAGCTTCTTTTGCTCAAGGCTAGTGCTCTACCACTTGAGTCACAGCACCACTTCTGGCTTTTATTTTATTTTATTTTTTGGGGGTCCAGTCGTGGGGCCTGAACTCTGGGCCTGGGCGCTGTCCCTCAGCTCTTCAGCTCAAGGCTAGCGCTCTACCACTTGAGCCACAGTGCCATTCCAGCTTTTTTTTCTCTTTGCTTATGTGGTGCTGAGGAATTGAACCCAGGGCCTCATGCATGCAAGGCAAGCACTCTACCACTGAGCCACCTTCCCAGCCCCACTTCTGGCTTTTAATGTGTATGTGGTACTGAGGAATCCAACCCATGGCTTTATGAATGCTAGGTAAACACTCTGCCACAAAGGCACATTCCCAGTCCCTGCCTTTCATTTTGAACAGTGTCACTCCTTCCCTCGATCTCTGCCAGGTTTTCCCTCCTGTCTCCACCCATGAATTGTATAGTTCATTTTCGACATAGTGTTTAGTGGGTACCACTGCTGCTTTTGTTCACCCTTAGTCCCACTCTTTCTGTACCAACACTTCACTATCCCTTTATTGAGGTTCCTAGGCTCAAACAAGACCCTGGGAAGGAGGAGGAGGAGGACTAAGGGACAATCTTTCATAGATAATTGTTAAATATAGACCACTAACTTTCTCCCACCTATTTATATATACTGTGAAAAAAGAGGAGCAGAATAGGGAGAGGAAATACTGAGTTCGAACAGTAAGTAAAAGGCAGAGTTAGGATCTGAACTAACCTGTTAATAACTAAGCCCAGATTAATCCTAAGGGCTAAGCACAAGTTTGTGGACAACTATGCATCTACAGAGTAAATTGGCTTAAAGTCCCTGTCTTGGGGCATATGGGGGAAGATTGTGTTTCAGGTAATTTAAGCAAAAGACAAAAGTCAGGCATTGATTGCTTTTAGGTAGACATAGCAAGTGGAATGATTGGGAAGTGGGGAAACAAAGATACTGGCTATGTGTTAGAGATGAGCAGGAGGGGAAAAGAAATGATTGAGGAATTTGGTACCATGAAATACATTTGTAGAGCATAACTGCAGATCTGTAAGAGTTGGGGATGGGGGGTTCTTCTGGATCCGGGAGCCTTAAGAGCTCTGCTGGAAAGCAGGGTCCTATGAATCTCTTCCATCTCCATGGTATCTACACCATCTAGGCCAGCAAATGTCACATTCATAGAGATTACAGTACTTGGTTCTTCTCAGGTCATAAACTGGCAAGACTACCTGAAAAGATTTCAGGTGAGACTCTTTTCCTCCTCTTCCTTTCAAACCCAGATGAAGTTGGAGGTTGTTTTGTTTTGAGGGGGGGAAAGCTATAGACTCTCTGGAAACCATTCCTCAGAGCTTCCATGTACTTCTTTAAAATGAGTATAATACAACTCATCTTCTGGTGATAAACCTAAACCTTTGACTTAGGAAGGGCCCTGGAAATATGCCAGACTGGGTCCCATGGCCTGCCTCATCTGGTTTAGAGGCAGCCCCTCTTGACTGGCTGGCCTCTTGCTTTGCAGACTTCGGTGGATAGAATAGCAAGCTGACAAGCTCTGTTAGCTATAGTGCCTCCAATTCACACTCCACCGTTAAGAAGCTTCTCTACTTCCCTATCACCTGTTTCAATAGGAATTCATGATCTCCAAGTCTCCAGATTCAAAGAATTCTTTTTTCTTGACCTGATTACAAATCTTTGCTGTGCTGTTTGTCGGTGGCTCATGCCTGTAATCCTAGCTACTCAGGCGGCTGAGATCTAAGGATTACAGTGCAAAGCCAGCCCAGGCAGGCAAAAGTCCATGAAACTCTTATGTCCAATTAACCACCATAAAACCAGAAGTGGCACTGTGGCTCAACTGGTTGAGTGCTTGCCTGGAGCTGCAGAGCTGAGGGATAGAGCCCAGGCCCAGAGTTCAAGCCCCACGACTGACAACAACAACAACAACAACAACAAATCTTTGCTGCATTTGATGCCATTGACCATTTATTTCTCCTTGAAAGTCTTTCCCCCCCTTGGATTTCTTCCATGACATTACTTTCTCCTGATTCTTCTCTTATTCTTCTGTTTCTTCTCAGTTTCCTTCCTGACCTTCTTTTCCTTTGCCAGCTCCCTAAATGTTGGCATTTTTCCAAGTTCATATCTCAGTTATTTTCTCTTCTCACCTTATGTGCTGTTCTGGGTATGTGTTAGGATAGTCCTGTTGAAAGGTGTTGAGGAAGTTCTTGCCAGCCCTTGAGTCTGAAATCTGATTTCTACTTTATGTAGTATATGGGAACATTTTATTTCTTGTATATCTCTTAAAAGAAAGCTACCCCCTGGAAGAAAGGTAATTTGTTAGCTCTAACTATACTAAAAATAAAATGAAATACCTGTGGGGGAAGATAAAGCTATCTTTTCTCAAGAAGCGCCTTTGCTGTTAGTGGGGATGAAAGCTCTGTTTTTCATACAGGTGACTTAAATGCCATGTGTCTGGTAAAGCTAATTTGCTGGCGTAGCAAATCAAATGACACTAAGCCATTACTCTTGGTAAGAGTAATGATTAAAGAAAATCTGGGTGGGCTGGGAAGGTGGCTCAGTGGTAGAGCACTTGCCTTGCATGCCAGAGGCCCTGGGTTCCATTCCTCAGCACCACATACACAAAAAGAAAAAAGCCGGAAGTGGCGCTGTGGCTCAAGTGGTAGAGTGCTAGCCTTGAGCTGAAGAGCTGAGGGACAGCACCCAGGCCCAGAGTTC